CGAGTGCAGTGCTTTCGGCGGCCGACGGGCCAACCCACGTGCTTTTATGTGCGCCGTTCAGCTGCGCCGTGGACGGCCTCGTAGCGGGTCTTCTCATGGACGGAATCTTGGGCCGTCACGACTTCTTGCGCGCGTTCCCGTCCAAGACGTTTTACGATGGCATCTTCTCGGATGGTCCATGACGTCGATCCGTCAGACGGTGCGCCAGGATATACATACATTGTGGTCCTCGTGCATATGGTGTAGACTGAACCCCACGGCTGCGATGCTGTCGTATAATCTCAAGCTGCCGCGATCGCCCGCGTCCCACGGCATCTCCAAGCCGCCTCCTTGAACTGCGACCACTGACGATTACAGAACGCACACGAGTGTCGTCTTGGGTCGTCGAGCAAGCAGCCGACTTGAAGAGACCGTGCGACGCGGGCGATCGCGATGGACTCGTGAAGCGACGTCGACAGCCTCCAACTCGATGCAAGAGCGCTATCTTGGACGCTGTCATCCGTGCTCGGTGTTTGATCTCCCATTTTCATCGGCTCGCATAAGGCTTGGCAGTCGTCCATTCTTCTAGTATGCATAGTTCACTTGTGATGCCAACGACTGCGTCATTATAAATCTGCTAAAGGCAAAAGTCGTTGCCAATGCTTGCACAAAATACTATACTTGTACATACCGAGCTGCTTCATCCAGTCTCTTGGTTGATGCAAGTGTCCACCGCGTTCGCCCTCGAGTGGCCTCTCGGACGCTGTCTTTCAAGGAGAAAAAGCTCCATCTTGCAATCTCAATCCCGAAATCTCAATCTCAAAATCTCCATCTCGTCTCTCAATCGACATGTCGTACGACTCATGCGAATGCTTCACCCTGGGTGACCAGGGGTCCTATACGAATGCACACAATGTCTATCATGACGCGGATAAACTTGATTCGTCGTCCGACTTGTCGAGTTTGAATTTCCATCCTGGCGAGACGAATGCACAGGAGATACATAGCAGCAGCGTCCTTCTCCTTGCGTGTCAGCCCTCACACGGACAGCGACCGACTGGGATGACCGCAAGAGAGCGTCACACCGACGCCGCCATGGCCTTTGTGGATTCGTTTTGGGCACAGAACAATACAGAAAAGCTGCATATTGGAACGTGCTCATATGCATCAAGTTGCATATCTCATGACTCGTTCTTCAAGGTCGTCAAGTCGACGCTGGTGCTGGTCGTCGGTAGCGTCGCCCACGCATCGACTTCATTTTGAACAAACGCGTCGATCTCTGGTCGCAGTTGCAGCCATGCATCTGCCGAGAGTAGTTGAGGTGCCGTTGCACTCGGACGCTACGCATATACATCATGAGCTAAGGCAAGGACACCGATCTACCTTGGACGAGTGCTCGCTGTACTTGGCGATGGCGCACTGCGCTTGCGCAGGGATATCAATGCGAGCCAAGAACGGACTAAGGTTGGCGTCAAGAAGCCCGGGCAGCACTGCCTCGTAGCGCACACATGCCGGCGCAATACTAAACAACCTAATGACGATATGCGACCGGACGTTCACGAAGGAGGACATACCGAATGCAAAACGCGTGGAGCTCCGGGTGGGACTCGGAGAGGAACGCGTAGTACGACCCGACGTCTTCAGCGTACAGCGATTTTGTCGCGCTATCAAACGGAAACTGGCCGCGCCGGAGCTCCAGCACATGGGTCACGACTGCGTTCGCATCCAGGTGCCACTGCAGAGCGTAGTGGCGAACCGCCGCACCCACGTAAAGCCAATGTTCGAAAAGGTCCACCTACACCCACCCCGTCAGCTCCTTTGCAAGGGTACCGTGCGTACGTCAGTCGCTGTGTGCAGCGCGTACGCAACGAGCCACAGGCGGCCGTCGCATTTGGAGAGAATCGACGGCAGCAGCAGCGAGGACGGCAGCGCGCGGGTGAGGTCCAAGTAGACAAGCAGCGCGTCGCGGCCCGACAAACCACCGGGCGCCTCGAGTCGGGCATACGCAATGTCGAGGGTCGACCACGCAGCACTTGCGTCGCTCTCGTGCGCCGCCATGGCCCGCCAACTCTTGGCGACGGGGTGCCTCGGCCCGCCCGAATCCAGAAAGGTCGTCGCCGATACAAGTCGCAGGAGGGCGCGCGTGCAATAGAGTACCGTGCACTGCGGCAGCGTGGCAGACGCTGCTTCGAGCAGCAGCGCCGAGTCGACAAGAATGACCACGAGCGGTGGACTGGAGGCGACGACCTACGCAAAGCGTCAACGAGCGATCGAAGTGGAATGACGCACGCTCGTCAGATGTGCAATGCACGCATCAAGTGTCGGCGCGATCGATGCAAAGGAGAGCGTCGTGCAGCTGTGGAGGTACTGAAGCGTGCACGCAATCGTAAACTCGCGCGAGCAGAGCGACGTCCAGGACGCGACCGAGAGGGATGCGAAGGGCATGCTTGGTGCGTCCTCGACTTTGTGGCGCAAGCAGCGATCGTAGAGCACATCTGGTGACGGCACATCGATTGCTAGTAGCTTCGACACGTCTGGGTTCCAAGCCCACGCCCACGGCACGTCGCCACTAAGGGCAACCTACGCGATGTCGTCCGAGATGCCACGAGCGTGTCGCTGTACCTGCACCAATGCGTCGTCTGGAGGGAGCACATTGGCCGCCGATCGCTTTTCATTTGCGATGGGCGGTGCGCTGGGCCGCTCGGGGCCGTCGCTAAGCAAGAGGTCGAGCAGCGGCTGCGGGGGCACCATGCCTTCGGGCTCGGGAGTGCGCCGGCGTTTGCGGCTCGGACCCGCGGCATGCTCGTCGACCATCGAACGAACTTGATTTCGCGTCGACGTGGGGCAATAGATGCAGATGCTAAGGTGGCGGAGCATCTTGGTCGGGACGCCGCGAATGGCCTCAATGCTGAGCGGGCCTGCCGCAGGGTTGGCCGGCGCTGCCAGCGCCTGCGCCTGGGCGTCCGAGCAGTAGCGGCAGTAAACGTGGTGATGGGACCCGTTGCGCTTCTCGCCCTTGATGAAGTGGGCCCAGACCGCGTGCGGAGGGCGACCCGTCTTGGGCCGGTGCGTCACCGCCGGTGCCATGTTGCTGCTGGCAGTCGTCCTGCACGGCAATGGCGCTGGATTGGGTAACACGCACAACATTTCGGCCAATCAGCGTGATTCATTTTTGCCCAATCAAAGCGCAGTAGTCTCGTATCCCATCTTGGATTGGCTACAAACATGCACTTTTGTCCAATCACATTATTATGATTATGCTTTAATAGTGTGATATTCGTTGCTTGAATGCAGGGAGCAACATTTCACAACGATCAGTTTTGAACGAAGCAAGCGATTTACACAATGCACGTGCTTCGCTACACATAGCTTCATGCACATTAGCACGCACACAAAGCTTGCCAAGCTGGGATGATTCGCATCAGTGCCATGAAATAGTGTGATGGATTCATGGGCACCTGACTTGGGGCCAATCGCAAGGCGATGTTTCGTCCTATTTTAGCGAATCAAACGAGGCAGTCAATATTTCCACCAATCGCGACAACGCGTGCATAATTTCAGCCAATCGTATGCTCGGGGCAGCGCTTCTCGTTTCTTGCCCCAGATCTTCTCCATTTCGAAATCCTTCGGCCATCTTCGCATCAGCAGCATGGGCCGCGGCAGCAAGTCGACCAAGAAGCATGGGAAGGAGAGCCTCGTGGGCACGGAGCAGCATGAGCGGCTCCTTGACGAGGCCACGTACCGGGAGATGGACCTGCCCCTCGAGCCGGGCTTCCACCGGTCGCCGCAGCAGAAGAAGCAGACGGTGTGGTGCTCGTTCATCTGGGTCGGTATCGGCCTCGTCGTCGTCGTCGGCGCCTTCGCGATCCTCAAGGTCTCGCGCCAGAGCGACGAGCTTCCGACGAAGAAGCCAATCTTCCCGACCCAGTACGAGGCCAGCCTCACGTTCCGCATGCCATACGTCGGCCTCGTCGAGCCCGTCTTTGTGCATGTCGACGAGCCCGCGGGCTTGCAAAAGCTCAGCTACTATGGCGGTAAGCGAAAAAGGATCGTGGTCAGTAAGCTCATGGTTCCCGGTAGGCGTCGACGAGTACATCTTCAACACGACCGGCCCGTCGTACCAGCTGCTGCCCGTCATTGACGCGATACAGTGCTTCCAGACGGACGCGTCGCCGCTCCAGCTCGTATTCCCTAACATGACGGCGTTCGAGCCCATGTACGGCAAGTCGGTGATCAACTCGCGCAACTGCTACTCGTGGAAGTTCAGCGTCGACTCGAAGCCCGACGCGCAAGGCCGCCTTGGCGTCTACACGCTCTACGTCGACGTCGACACGAACGAACCCGTTCGGTTCCACTACATTGGCCACAACGTCATGCTTGGTGGCAGCCACATGGACGAATACATCCTCGACTACGAGTACATCCGCGCAGGCCCCATCGCGCCGCAGATCTTCTCGTACCGCGTCGCGTCCATGAATTGCACGCCGATGGGCCCGGACGTTGTCGACGCGCCGCTGCGCCCAACAAACGACGTACGTTTACGCTTTTATCTCCATGCACTCATAGCATCCGACTAGTTTCACTTGCGCATGCCGGATGGCGAGACAAAGCGCGCGGACGCGTTCGACGCGTTCATGGCCGCCCACGAGAAGGCGTATCTCGATGACTCGGAGCGTGCGCGCCGCGAGAGCATCTTCCACGCCAACGTCCAGTACATCAACGCGATGAACCGCCAAGGCAACAGCTACACGCTAGCCGTCAACCACTTGGCGGACAAGACGCCCGACGAGATGCGTCGCCACTTCCATGCCAAGGCGCACCACGCCAAGGACAATGGTGCACAAGCCGTGCATACCCTGTCGAGCACATCACTGCCCGAGGAGTTTGATTGGCGCAACCACGGCGGCGTCACGCCGGTCAAGGACCAGGGCCACTGCGGCTCGTGTTGGACGTTTGGGTATGTTGTCTGTTCTAGTAGAATGGGCGTTTATGTCCAATGTAGGACGACGGGGGCGCTTGAAGGGCAGCTCTTCAAGGCCAAGAACGAAACGATCCGTCTCTCCCAGCAGAACCTCATCGATTGCTCGTGGGACGAAGGCAACAATGCGTGCAACGGTGGTCTCGACTACCAAGCCTACCGCTGGATCATCAAGCACGGCGGTACATATGTGTGCGCGAGAAACGCGAGGCTCATTGTGAAGTAGGCTTGGAGACCGAAGCCACGTATGGCAGCTACAAGAACCAGCCAGGGTTTTGCCACTTTAACGCGTCCCGTGCCGTGGCTCCGGTCGCGTCATTCGTGAACGTCTCGGGCATCCCGGCGCTCAACGACGCCCTTGTCAACGTCGGGCCGCTCTCCGTGTCGATCGACGCGGCGCTGCCGTCCTTTTACTTCTACGCTGGCGGCTACTACAACGACATTGAGTGCAAGAGCGGCCTCGACGACCTCGACCACTCGGTGCTGGCGGTCGGCTACACGACGTACAATGGCGAAAAGTACACGCTCGTACGTTCCTGTCGACCTTCTTTCCTTCGTGGCGCTCACTTGGCTGGGCGTAGGTCAAGAACTCGTGGAGCACGCATTGGGGCGAGAAGGGCTACATCAAGATTGCCCAGAAGAACAACATTTGCGGCGTCGCGACCATCGCAACCTACCCCGTGCTGCAGAAGACGGCAGCGTGAGCCACTGCTGTCGCTCATTTTTAGTGTATTTCTCAGTCGATGCAAATGTGATGCTCTCGTGCTCTCTACAGCAATGGCTCGGGCATGGATGCATGACAACTTAGTCACACCTCGACTGCAAGAGTTGTGGCAACAGCGCTAAAGTGAGTAGCTCGTACGGAGCTGAAGTAAAGTGACTCGCCATGTTGCATCGCCCATGATGGAGCCCCGTCTAGCGATTTGGTTGTCTATTTTTGAAACCTCCGTGGCATTGACTGACGGCAAGATGCACTCAGCGCTGGTCTTGGTCTCGTTGGCACTCGCCTCGGCGACACGCCCGCTTGGTGCGCACCCTTTGCCATCTTCAAGGAGCTCACTTGCGGGTCCTGCACTAGTCCGCATCCCACTCGTGAACCTCGACCAGCTCCAATTCTACGGCAGCATCGAAATCGGGTCGCCACCGCAGTCCTTCCGCGTTATCTTTGACACGGGCTCGAGGTTGCGTTCGTAGCTCAAGTCGCTGGTCTGATCATGCACCAACTAGTGATGTGTGGGTGCCCAGCCACGACTGCACCGCGTGCTCGGGAGTCGCTCGCTACAACCGGTCGGCGTCGTCCACGTACCTTCATCGCCTCGCGCCGATCGTGCTTGACACTCGTGTAGCTATGCCGATGAGATGTATCGCTTCCAAGCCTATTACGGCAGCGGCGCGGTCGCTGGTGACGTCGCCTCGGATGCCATTGCCTTGCCGGGAGCGTCATCGGCCTCTTTTGTGCGCATGGGGAGCGTCACGGCGCAAGATGCAACCATTCAGAAGTTTGCCTCGGAAGGCATTGTCGGTCTCGGCTTTCCCGCGCTCGCTTCGATCTCGGCGCCAACGTTCTTGGAAGCCCTTGATATTGCGATCTTCTCGCTGTACATTAGCCCACTTCCAACGTCTCCGGTCCCGTCGCAGCTGCTTTTGCATGGTAGACAGACTGAATTGAGCTCTAGCTTTATGCCTCACATTAGGCGTCGACGACAGCCTCGCCGGTCCGAACGCGACGTGGCACACGATCCCGTTGGTCGACGCACCGTTGACAGGTACACGCCTGCACGACGTTCCGACGCAAAGCACGGGGTAGAGGGGTTTTGGGCCGTCCGATTCGGCGGTCTTCGAGTGCACGACGCGTCTCTTCAACGTACGACTCGACATCCTCGAAAATTAGAAGACAAGTTGTGCACAGGCGCCGCCACCGTCGCGATTCTCGACTCTGGCACATCGCTCCTCTTGCTGCCGCACATTGAGTACGCGTCCGTGGTCGCTCGCCTATGTACTGTTGTCCCAGCCCTCGATGGCTGCGATGGCGGTCCTGTGTCGTGCTCATCGTGTGACCACACGTCGTTTCCACCGCTGACGTTTGTCCTTGGCAGCACGGGCTTTACACTCCAAGGCTCCGACTATGTTCGGTAGGGTCTTTCCTGGCGTGTTGAGCTCCATGAAGCGACGTAGGTGCGAACTCAACGTGTGCACCCCGCAGATCGAGACGAGCACCAACTCGTTTGTCGTCCTCGGTGATATCTTTTTTCGGGTACGTGGATCAATGTGAGCAACGACCTCGAGCGACTTGATCGTGTAGGCGTACTACACAGCCTTTGATGTTACGAATCGAAGTGTTCGACTCGCTTGTCCAGCAAGCGGGTGCCACGGCGGCCAGCGACCGCCGCTGCTGCTCTCGCCTTTTGTACGTGCTGCGAGTTGATGGCACTTGACATGCTAACGATGCCTTCAGTTGTCCTGGGTGCTCTACGCCTCGATGCTGTACACCAAGGCCTTTGGCCTCGCGCTCAGCGTCGTGGGCGCCAAGTGGGTTCTCGACCGCTCGCTTCTTATGCGCACCAAGCAGCCATCACCAGCGCTTCTCAGTGGCATCGTGTAGGCAATAGGATATTTTGAATAAGAGCAATCGTTTTTGGTATGCTGACGATGGGAGACGTCCCTTCCCACCTAGAAGGCAGGCCATCGACGCTGCAACAGGGTTTTCGAGGGTCAAAAAGGTGGCGCTTGGTGGTGTCCCAACGGCTCTTGCGGGACTTTGGTAAGAGCACGCTCGTTGCGTTGAGCTTGTGATAATGCATTTTGACCCTGGACTTCGACGCTGCATCTACTAGTCTACAAATGACACCCGACCAGGCGACGCGAGCGCGGTCGTCCGCACTGCGCGCCATCCATTCTTTTGTCGATGGCAGACGTCATGCCCAGCATCACATCCAGCTCTGATGCATGATCCAGACACAAACCACACTGGACATTTTACATCAACGTGAGCCTGGCGCGGTGAACCTCAGTGGCACCCAGTGGTTGGCACCATGAGAGAGAAGACGATGTTTGTTGATAGTATGAGGCACGATACATTTCGTAGTCGGAGATTAAATATGAAGGGGCGCATCAACGATTTACTTGGACGCGAGCGGGAACTGGTGTGCGTTGGCCCAGTTGGCAGCCTTGTGGGCGCGCGCGCTGTTGCAGCGGCTCATGTCCGAGGGCACGCGGGCGCCGCGGACCGAGACTTGGGGCGCGGCCATGAACATTTCGAGGACCATTTGCGCGTAGGACTTGGATTCTTGCGTCGACGACTTGACCATCTTGGTAGTTGGTAGCTTTTTCAACAATACGCTCTCAACCAAGAAGATCGAGCTTTGGTTGCACCTTTTGGTGGGGCCAATCACATCGCAGATTTGGTCTGACGCAGCATTTGCCGCGATTGGATTGGTGGACCCACTTTCTGCGCCACTGCCAGCGGACCAATCACGATGAAGTGCAAGATGCGACGGAGTGCCGAAGTCCAAGTTCGATCGCCGAACAAACGACGCCGTCCTCGCGATCCCTCGAACAAGCAAACCCGCGCGTCGAGAGGAATAGCATCGAGTTGACCTGAATCTGGACGATGCGAGACTAAGATCTAGATCTGGTGATGGCGGCGTTGGTGGCTGCACCTGAAGCTGAAAGCCGCATCGTCGTCGAACGCAAGGTGGTCGGTTACTCTGTCTTCTCGTCCCTGATTCTTGGCTACCACGGGTACGTTGGTTGAAGTTGGCGCTGCACAGCCGCCGTCTCTTCGCGTTGCATTTCATGCGCCGCGGCTATGCGGGTCAATGACGTCGGTTGCGAAGGTGGCTTGCCGAGACACGGTGCCTCCAGGGACCACAGAATCCCAAATCCAACCACAAAATGCTTCGACAATTCAGGTTCTTATTGGTCAGACGATGTCTTCGCCGACGTCGCGACATCCTGATTTGAAGGGACACGTGCAGCCACAGGCCAACGCGAGTGTTTATTTTCGTGGGCTCGACGGACAGCAATGTGAACTACACACCGTTTGCAGCCGAACGTTTGCGTCTTCTCTGTCGCTCATATTGTTCTGGCGCCAAGGACGCGCATTGCTTGCAGTTGAAGTTGGTCGGTTGTTCTCGCGAAGCGGAAGCAAAGCAAGAGAGGCCAGTGAGAACATCGATTTTGGGATTGGGCTCACTGAGCTCCTGCATACTAGTACCAAGGGTCGATGAACACTGTTTCTTGACCCTTGCTAGTACTCAGACAGAATGTGAACGCGTGTCCTAACTGCTTCCTACGCACTGGAATGCACACACCTAAAGAAGAACCAGCTGTGATTCAAACTCGACGTCGTCGAGTTGACAAGAGCCTAGGCCATAAACTTACGTCAGTTTATGGCCTTGCTAGAACCAACAAAACAGTACCAAACTTTGTCCTTCGCGAGTGGATCCAAAAATCGGACCGTCCTGCACTGTGCCATTCCAGGCGGGCTTGTGACAAAATTGGTATGCAGAGAACGCAATGTTCTCAGAGCTTGCTACGTCACTCACACAATACTATCAAGGCCATTAACTGTACCGGTAGATTTATGGCCTTGGTACTTTGTACACCTTCGATGGCTTCGCACGGACGACAGACGCTAGCAGTCATGTTGCAGTGAACGCGCCACGCTGACCGCACGTTTCGCTTACAAACCCACCACCCATCCTCGCCAAGCAACCGCTTCACACCTGCACAGTACAGACAGCATGAAGACTTATCAGTGTAGTCGAAATCGTTCACATGTACACGCCTAACCTCTACTAGTATCAAGCATACGCGCCTTGAGCCTTGACGCTCTTTAGTCGATGTCTAGTCGAGATTGCCCTTTCGAGTGGCGCCGTGTATCAAGCTCCCATCAAGTACGCCCAATCAGATCGTACTTATCGGGCAATTCGCCGTCGTTTTCCAAAGCTCCTGCTCAAGATACCGCACTTCCGAGGGATCCATACAAGTAACACGTTCAGAATCCTCTAAAGTGCGCAACGTCAATGACGAGGTGTGGGGACTTCCTCGCACTTACGGGGTGGCCAAGCTGACGGCTGATTTACAAACCGGCGACGAGAGACCGAAGATGGCAGCGCCGGCCAAGAAGCACCGCCGAGAGGGCGAGAAGGTGTGGTGCCCCGACCCGCGCAACGTCTGGCAGCTGGGCTCGATCGTCGAGGACGACGGCGAGTCGCTCTTCGTGCTCACGCCCGACGACAACGAGGAGCACAAGTTTGCAGTGACGCAGACGCACCCGTTCGACGTCTCACACGCCCAGCTCTTGCCCAACGTCTCGGACATGGACAACCTCCACGAAGCGCCTTTGCTCGACCTGCTCCGGCGCCGTTACGAGCAGGACCTCATCTACACGTTCACGGGCGACATCCTCATTAGCATCAACCCGTACAAGAACATCCCGCTTCTCTACAACTTTCCCGAGATCGACTCGCTGAGCAAGCAAGAGAACCCGGCGCCGCACGTGTTTGTGACCGCCGACGGCGCGTACCGTGCGCTCCAGAAGGACGGCAAGTGCCAATCGATCCTTGTCTCGGGCGAGTCGGGCGCCGGCAAGACCGAGGCCTCCAAGTACATCATGCGGGTACGCCCTAGCTCTTAGCTGCAACCGAGGTCACTCATGCGTGCTGCACTAGTACTTGGCCAACATTAGTCAGTCGGGGAAAGGCGCGGCGGCGGCCAACGGCGGCGGGTCGTCGGTCGAGCAGTGCGTCTTGCAGAGCAACCCGCTGCTGGAAGCCTTTGGTAACGCCAAGACGATCCGCAACGACAACTCGAGGTACGTCTTTCGACGTGCGAGTCGAGCAATCTACTATATATTGATATATCGCTAGTCGATTTGGCAAGTTTATCAAGATCAACTACAACCGCAACGGAACGATTTCGGGAGCGAGCACGAGTCATTTTTTGCTCGAAAAGTCGCGTATTGTGGGCTGCGCCGAGAACGAGCGCAACTACCACATCTTTTACCAGATCTGCTCGGGCTTGTCGGCCGACGAGCGAGGTAGAAATGATATCTTATCTGCATTTTTTGACAAATGCTTGGATGCAATAGCCGCCTTGTTCATCACCAAGGCCGAAGACTACGAGTTCCTCAACCAAGGCAACTGCATCACGGTCCCCGAAGTCAACGACAAAAAGTGCTTCAAGGAGCTCGTCGACGCCATGGCGATCATGGGCATCGATGCCGAGACCAAGCGCACGATCTTTGCGCTTGTCGCGGCCGTCATGCACATGGGCAACCTTCGCGTACTGTCTCTCTCCAAGCTGTGGACTAAACGACTATGATCTTAGTTTACGGAAAACGCCAAGATGGAAGCGCAGTGCGCCGACATGAACCAAGTCAACCAGCTCGCGTCGCTCATGAAGGTCGCGCCCAAGGACCTCCAGTTTGCGCTCTGCATGCGCACGATGAGTGCGGGCACCCGGTACAGAGTTGGTTGCACACCAATGCGATATACCAACACGTGCAATGTGTAGTGGGAGTGTCGCGGAGATCGCGCTGTCGGCCGTCGACGCCATCAAGTCGCGCAACGGTCTCGCCAAGGCCATCTACTCGGCGCTCTTTGATTGGCTCGTCGACCGTATCAACGCGGCGACGGCGCAGATCACGGGCGCGTCGACCGAGCGCGTCATGGAAGGATCGCCCGGGCGGTTCATTGGCATTCTCGATATCTTTGGGTTTGAGATTCTCCAAGCCAACTCGTTCGAGCAGCTCTGCATCAACTACACCAACGAGATGCTCCAACAGCAGTTCAACGAGCACGTCTTCGTGTACGAGCAAGAAGTGTACGTCGAAGAGGGCATCGACTGGTCCAAGCTCTCGTTTCAAGACAACATTCCGTGCCTCGAGCTCATTGAGAAGAAGCCGCTCGGTATTCTCATCCTCCTCGACGAGCAAGCGATGCTCGGTCGCCGCGGGTCGGATGAAAAGTTCATTCAAAAGCTCCATCAGACCCACGAGAAGCACCCAAACTACATCAAGCCGCGCTTTGGCAACGAGCAGTTCATCCTCAAGCACTACGCCGGCCAAGTCACGTACAACGTCGCGGGCTTCCTCGACAAGAACAACGACTCGCTCCACAACGACCTCATCGAGCTCATGAACAGCAGCCAGCTCGAGCTCCTCAAAGTCCTCTTTGCGGCGCCGGCGCCTGCGAAGGACGAAGGCCCAAAACTCAAGCGCGCGTCGATGACCAAGATGACGGGGACGATGACGGTCGGCCGCAAATTTCGCGAGCAAATGGCCGAGCTCATGGCGCAGCTCCACACGACGCAGCCGTCGTTCGTGCGCTGCGTCAAGCCCAACAACATTCGATTTCCGACCGGGTGGAACGCCGAGCTCATTTTGAACCAGCTCATCTACCTCGGTGTCATGGAAACGGTGCGCATTCGCCGGTCGGGCTTTCCTGTGCGCCGAACGTTCGACGAGTTTGTCGACAAGTACAAGCTCCTCGAGAAGGTCTACTCGGTGCGCGCCAAGAAGGTCGCTAGTACCAACAAGGAGAAATGCGAGGTCCGCGCTTCGATCCTGCTGCCGACCATACCTCAATTTCGATTGTAGATGATTCTGAGCCAAGCGCTCCAGCGTGAAAACTGGCAGCTTGGCCACAAGAAGGTCTTTATGCGCGACTCGCAGCTCCGCGTGCTCGACGCTGTCGTGCGCAAGGTGCGCATCGACGCTGCGATTACCCTTCAAAAGTATGCGCGCCGTCAACTCGCGCGCAAACGGTACGCATCTTTCAACTTGACACATTGATACAACACGAGGAACATGCAATAGGTACACCAAGCAGCGCAAGGGCATTATCGCGCTGCAGGCGCTCGTGCGCATGCACCAAGCCCGCACTCGGTTTGTCATTCTGCGCCGCCGCATCACGTGCCTCAACTCGCACGTCCGCAAATGGCTTGCGCGCCGCCGTTTCCTCGGCATCCGCAAGGCCATTATCCGCGTCCAGGCCCGCGTCCGTGGTCGCCGCGCGCGCAAGGTACTGTTTTGCACAGTATCAAGGTATCAAATTGACGCGGCATGTAGCTTGTTGCGTACATGCGGGCGGCGCCCAAGGCCGCGACGACGATCGGCAAGCACATGCGCCGGTACCTCGCCCGCAAGCACTTTTTGCATGCCAAGGCGAGCGCCACGCGCATTCAGAGCGTCGTCCGCATGCACCTCGCGCGCACGCGCTTTGTGCGGCTTCGGAAGGCCATGATTCTCCTCTCCAAGAACATCAAGCGCTTCCTCAAGCGTCGCCACTACAAGCGCATGCAAGTCGCGGCGCTCGCTCTCCACGCCGTCGGCCGCGGGTTCCTTGCGCGCCTCAAGTATGGCAAGAAGGCGCGTCTCCGTGCGCAACTCCGAGCCCGCGCGCAGACCACGATCGCGCGGTATATTTTTTCGAATATTTTTGTAGTTTGTGCTGATACATTGATACAATAGCATGGTGCGCGGGTACCTCGGACGGCTGCACTACCGCCACGCCAAGCATTTGATTGTGATTGTGCAAGCCCGTGTGCGCGCCAACCGCGTGCGGACCGCGTACCTCCAGGGCCGCCAAGCGACCATCAACTCGCAGGCTATGATCCGCCGGTCGCTTGCGCGCCGCAAGTTTCTGAAGGAGAAGCGCATGGCCACGCGTCTCTGTGCGTTTGGTCGCATGATCATTGCGCGCCGCCAGTACCTTCTGGCCAAACGCCGGATCGTGCTCGTCCAGTCGCTCGTGCGCCGGTACCTCCAGGGCAAGCAGTACGTCCAAACACGATTATCTATTTCTTTTGCGATAATTAAATGTCTAGCTATCGCAACATTCGCAAGCAGTTTGTCAAGATCCAAGCGTGCTGGCGCCGGAAGCAGTGCGTCGCCCAGTACCAAAAGTCGCGCCACGCCATCATTGTCATCCAGTCGTTCGGCCGCATGATCCCGGCGCGTCGACAGCTCCTCACGTCGCAGGCGGTACGTACAACAAACGGTCCGACGACATCTGAGGACGATGGATAGGCGGTGACGCGCTTGGCGTCAGTGGTGCGCATGTTCCTCGCGCGCAAGGCATATCTTCGCAACAAGCAGCGCATCGTAGCCATTCAAGCGGTCGCGCGGCAGTGGATGGCCCGGAAGCGCTACGTGGTGACGCGCCAGCGCATCATTCGTGTCCAGGCACAGATCCGGTCGCGTACGTTCCGTGTCTCTTTTGCGTATTCGACTAACTAAACGGCGACTAGTCTTGGCCCGCAAGGTCATGGACAAGCAGCGCCGGGGCATGATGCGCGTGATTCTTGTCATCAAGAAGTACCTCGCGCGCATCCGCCTCCAAAAGAAGATCAAGTTGATGTTTGCGGCCGCCCAAGCGTTCGATTTGACGACCATTTTGCGCCTCAGTCAGGACAAGGACATCCCCAACTCGACGCTCGTGCGCGGTATGCTAATGTGCTTGTGTCGACAAACGACATGACAATATTTCCATCATCTAGTGCGCGACAAGAGCAACTACATGCGGTCGCTCGTGCACATTGCCGCTATCAACTGCGACTTGAATCTCGCCCGCTTTGTGCTTTCCGAGATTCCCAACATGGAGGACCAAGTCATCTCCAAGGACACGCTTGGCAACACGCCACTGCACTACGCGGCGCGCCTCGCGCATCTCGACATGGTCAAGCTCCTCGCCAAGATCGCCAACCGCATCCAAGCACCGCCGCCGGCGCCGACACCGAATTCGAGCCCTGTGGGCGCGTCGCCCGCCAACAGCAAGGACCAGTCGCCGGACGCCATGCTGCGCAAAAACTCGAGCTTTGGGACACCGCGGTCGCCGGGCCTTCGGTCGCCGTCGATCGGCGGCATCATGGGGGGCGCCGTGCCGCCGACGCCGCAGCAAAAGAACAACCGCCGGAAGCTCGTGTCGAGTGCATCGCAGATGCCGACCATGTCCGCAGCGCCGATCGAGCTCCCACCGGGTACGCTCGCGTCGACAGAGTCGGGAAAACTCAGATTTTGTTGCATCTAGATACGACCAAGGTGATCAAGGCGGGTCCGTTGCGCATGGCCAGCGGCGCCAAGATGGCGTCCAAGCGTCACGTTGTCCTCGACCCGGTCGCGATTTCGGCGTACAAGACGGCCAACGACCGCGTACGTCACATTTTGTCATGGCCATTGGTTCCACTGTGTATTGTGCTAGATTCCGGTCAAGATCCTCGAGCTTGGCGACGCCACACTCCGCCGCGCGTCAACGATCGAGCATTGCTTTGAGATCATTTCTCCGCGGCTCAAGAGCCACACCAACCTCACGGGCGTGCTCTCGTTCGTCGCCGACACGGAGGCCGAGGTGCACGAGTGGATGCTGGCGCTGCGCGAGGTTTTTTATTATTTTTCCGGAATTTCAGCGCTCATTTGTCTACTTGAATTAGATCAACGGGATGCGCATCGCGACGACCGTGCCGCCCAACCACAACATGATTTGCATCGACATGCTCCAGCGCAAGGAGTTTGTCAACTGCCAAAACAACCACCACGAGGCGCCGTTGCACCTCGCCGTGCAAAACTCGGAGGACGAGGGGTTCGAAGCCGTCAAGACCGCGGTCTGGCTCATTGAGAATGACGCCGACATCAACGCCAAGGACACGCTCGGCAACACGCCGCTGCACTACGCCGTCATCCAGGAGCGCGACGACCTCATCGAAAGTCTCCTCAAGAAGGGCGCGCTCACCACGATCCGCAACAACGCGGGCGACATGCCCGTGGACCTCGCCAACGACGAGTCGATGCGCGAGCTATTTGTCCCTGGCGCCGTCGTCGCCGTACGAAGCATTGGTTTCATTTGATGTCTTATCGGTATATATGTAGGTTCCCGCAGACCGCAGCTTGCTCCCGCGGCCGTCGGGGTCGCTCAAGGTGCGCGACGGCACGTACGTCTCGGTGCTGCTGAGCGCTGTCGCGATTGCGGGCGGCGTCATGCAGACGCCCCACTTTCGCATCTACTCGATGGACCCGCGCCGCGCGGTGGTCGACACGCCGCAGACGACGCCGGATGCGCTCATCCAGGACGGCCCGAGCCTTTGGTTTGGCAACACGTGGCATCTCCAGGTGCCGCTGGAGCACATGACGGAAGGCTGCGTCGCGGTGTTTGAGCTGCTTCGGTACGACTACCACACGGACGGCCCCGAAGTGTTTTGCTGGACGTTCTTCCGCTTGGATCTGAGCAAGATCACGAGCGCGCCGTTGACGTTCGAAATGTACTCGCCGCCCGTGGACCCGTACAGCCAGATCCTTGCCCGCATGCCTGGCGACTCGTTCTTCCAGGCCGAGCTCAACATCTCGTTGTAGTTGGGTGCAGATACGACGTGGTCATCTCTTAAATAGCTATGTTTGACATATGGACAAGTTGTCTGCTTTCAAAAAACAAATCAGGGCGCCAGGTAGAAGGTTGCGGTGACGAGCCATTCCTCGTCGACTACTTCCGCAAGTTGAAGTTGAAGTTCAATTCCCGTCCATTAAATGCTATGGATGAATTCGACCAAGAAAGTTAGTTCATCAAGGGAACGAGTAAACTCTCGAGTTAGATACACCATATCGACGGCTTGCTAGGTCGCTGGATCTCCCAGCCCTTTTGGAGCGGCGCGATTGCGCTCACGAAGAGAGGCGACGCCGACTTCCTGACGCGGATCGCAAGCGCCGGGTCCGACGCATTGCAGTCGAGACTGCTGAGCAAACTGAGTCGAATCTTCTGCACCACCTCGTCGTCACGGTAGCAGAACACAAAGACGTCGGCACTGCGCATGCTAATCGTCGGGCAGTTCTTGTAGCGCGGGTTCGACTCAAAGACAGCGTAGACCGTGCCCCCGAGGTTCGTCTCGGGGCCACGCAGCAGTTGCTGTGAGCTTTTCTGGAGCTTTTCAAGAAACCCGAACACAAGTCGGCTCTTGACGCTGTTGTAGCGCTGGCTACTATAGTCGGCGAGCGTCCGTGGTGTTTGCGACTTGCCTTGGAAGCCTACACGCGACGATCAGCAACCTTCAGTGGGGCAAGAGACAACGAACCGCAATAGAACCGCGGTGCTATGAAGCCATAACACAGAGGAAGGCTCCCGATGAGCAGCGTGTACATGGCACACCCGGGCGCGAGCTCGTTTTGCTCGGCGACAAGAGTCGGCGGCGCGAGGCATGCGAAGGTCCACTGATACAAGAGCGCAAGGAAGCCGACGTTGCCGCTGAGCCACGAGACGAGCGGGCCGTAGATTGCGACCGCGACCGCCAGCATGGTCGGGTCGACCTCGGCAAATGCATGCTCGAGGCGGCAGCGCTTGAGAAAGGAGGACGTGAGGCCCAAGGCGCAGTAGGCAAACCACACCTACGCCAACACTTTTGCTGTGTATTCGAATGACAATATGTCCGTACTGTCCGCGAGAGATAGATAAACGTAAGCAACAAGATCGCCGTGTCGCTGTTCTGAGTCGCGCGCAGGACGGCAATCCCGACGCTGCTCGTGCTCATCCACATGTCGACCACAAACGCAAACGCGATCGTGGGGTCGAGGAGGATGATGGCCGTCGGGTCGCCAAGGAGGAGGTCGTAGCGATGCGCCTCGTCGAGTCCCGGGCGGTGGCCGCGCGAGACAAGCGTGCGCTCCAAAGCGACGCAGTGGGCGTAATACCGCGCCCACATGCGGTGGACGACGAGGAGCGTAATGCCGCAACGGTACACCAACTTGATCCAGAGCCACAGAAAAAAGCGCTCGCTCGTAAACGCAAAGCTGAGTGTGAGCTTCTGCGGCGCCTCGGGATCCCCGTGGACGGCGTCGCCCGCGTCCAGCCAGACGCAGACGTGGCCAATCTCGACGCTGCAAAACCGGCTGTGGAAGCACGAGCCGCGGCCGTCCCAGTCGGCTGCGTTTGGTGCATTGGCAGCCGCAAGCGCGCACACCATGTCCATTTGATGGGGTAGATAGTAGATGAGTCCTGGAAACCCCAAGACAAACGAAGAAACGCACTCGGAGCGGTCCATCGCGCGGTGGTTGGTGAGGTTGATGGCGTGCCGGACGACTTGCGCGCCGCGGTGATCGTCGCTAAAGTACGTCGTGCCGTTGGGAATCGTGAGTGCGTTGTAGTAGGCTCGGTTGGCTGCGAGCGTGGCCGCGTTGAAAGCCGAGTAGTTGGCGAAGCGCTCGTCCGGTGGCGGAGCACGAAAGCTCGGTAATGGCTCCGTGAGGTAGGCTTTCATGGGCTATGAAAGAAGAGTCTAGTGTCACACAGTATGTAGGCAGGTCTACCATGGAGGCTATGTTGACAACCATGACAACACTGAGAAGGAATGCGATCGGCTGCCTCCGCACGGCAAATCGCGGTGGGAGACTGAAGCGCGGGCCCTTGACCGCGACCATGGTCATGCTCTCGCGCTTGAACGTCTTCATCCTGGTATCTGTTTTGTTTTCTCTGAATATGGCGGGAATAGGTGAAAACATTCCTATCTATAAAAAGGCCCGTGCGACTAATTTAGGCGCTAGCTTCCACCCTTGACACAGTTTGCCGTCATTCGGCGGTAACGAACCTACTTCCTCATTACATTTAACATCAATTGCGAATTATCGCCGCTGGTCCGACTTCCTCGCTACGTGCGTGCGATGTTGCGAGATGAGCATGCTGACATGGCCGCACAGCTGCCTCACGCGGTGACGACCCAAGAGTGGAACTACGGGCCTGTGATCACACTGCGCGGCGATGACTTGTATCGCTCGGCAAACGGCACCGGATTTCTCCCGGGTGCCCCCGCCGTGCCCCCCAACTACCACGTGCACCTCGCGACGACGATCGCCGGGGCGATCCAAATGGCAAGGCTGGACGCAGTCGCGTACTCGTAGCCACATTGTGCAGAGTTGACCACTCGTACAAAGACAAAACACTTGCATAATAACTGTCATTTCCCAAGTGAATCCACTTTTCTCTACAGTGAAAGGCGGGACCCATGTCGTGGGACCCAAATCAAGGGTCAGGACCGAGGTAGCTTTGCGGACGGACGAAGCATTCGCAGCTGGAGTGAGTCGTACGACATGGCGATTGAGAGATGGAGATTTTGAGATTGAGATCTCAGGATTGAGATTGTAAGGTGGAGCTTTTTCTCCTTGAAAGACAGCGTCCGAGAGTCCACTCGAGGGCGAACGCAGTGGACACTTGCATCAACCAAGAGACTGGATGAAGCAGCTCGGTATGTACAAGTATAGTATTTTGTGCAAGCATTGGCAACGACTTTCGCCTTTAGCAGATTTATAATGACGTAGTCGTTGGCATCACAAGTTAACTACGCATACTAGAAGAATGGACGACTGCCAAGCCTTACGCGAGCCGATGAAAATGGGAGATCCAACACCGAGCATGAATGGCAGCGTCCAAGGTAGCGCTCGTGCATCGAGTTGGAGGCCGTCGACGTTGCTTCACGAGTCCATCGCGATCGCCCGCATCGCACGGTCTCTTCAAGTCGGCTGCTTGCTCGACGATCCAAGACGACACTCGTGTGCGTTCTGTA